CAGGCCGTCCTCCTGCAGCCGGTACAGCCGCTCCTTCTGCCACGTCCGCGAGCGGATCTTGCAGAGGCGGGAGCCTCGAAGCATGGCGCGCACGTCCTCATCCTCCGTCAGGCCTGCGGGGCGGGAGGCCGGGGTGCACTAGAGCCTCGCCCCACCGGGACCTCCTTCCTCCCTGCTCCCTCTCGGAGCCTCTCCAAACCCACACAGGCCTCTCCCTGCGGAGCGGAACATGCCCCATACTGGGTTTGACTTGAGGCTTGGAGTGCCTGGCCCAGGTCCCCCTGGGAGGGGTGCCAGTGAGGGGCCCTCCCTCCAGCCTGCAAGTTCAGAACCTGTCACCTGCAGCCTTTTCACTTATTGGAAACCCTGGCCATCGAGAAAGCCACCTCACTATCTAACCTAAATCTCTCTTGCTGCAACCCAAGCTCCTCACACTGCCTTCCCGACCAGGGAGGACGCAGAGGCCACTCTGGCTCTGGGGTCACAGACCAAGGCCTCCAGGGCCTGCTGGCTGAGCAGAGGCTGACCTCCTGGCATCTGTGTGCCCTGGTGGGGCCCCGCTGAAGGCATGGTCTCCTGTGATGTCTGGCATTTGCCCAGCCTCTATGACAACCCCATGTCACCCCTCAGCCCACAGGTCCTCTCCTGTTAGTGTCCACCTTCCCTGTAAGTGTTAGGGGCAAAAATAGAATATTGGGGACTAGCTATGGTTGTGGGAAATGCTAATCACGCCCTGTTAGCCGTGACTGCCTTGTTCTGGTTAAAGGACATTCTAACCTGGCTGGGAGCTGTACACACACACACACACACACACACACCCGGGGAACCTGGGAGTCAACCTTGGACCTGGGAGTCAACCTTGGAATGGGGTCCATTCTCATTCAAGAACTGCCTGTTATCGTGCCAAGATTAACCACCTTGTTACCCAAACAAACAATGGAGTCCCACCCCAGACTGCATAGCCGACTTCCCCAGGCCTGTAATCCCTACTTCCCCATGTAATCTCTGTCCTCCTACCCAATACAAACAGCTGGCTTACGGGAGGGGGGTGGGTTGCAGAGCAGATGTTTGTGCGTGGCCTGCTGCTCTCCCATGTCGTTGGCGTTATTGGAATAAACGTTCATATGTGATTCAACCCTGTCTCTGCTGAACTGGCTCAAGTAGTGACAGGCAGCCTGGACACCTTGGTTGTCTGGTTTCATTAAAACAAAATGCGTACAGAGCACCTACTGCACACACTCCCGGCCCTGCTCATGTCCTAACACACAAGGAAACAAGCTTCAGTCACTGGCCAGAATTCTCCACCACCACCACCACCTCCCGCCACTGGCCGGAATTCTAAGGAAGTGGTGGAAATATGTGCCCTTGGCTATGAACTGAACCTTTCAGCTCCTATCCTCCTCCTCCTTCCCCTGCCCCCACAAATACCTGGGCATGGGAGGTAGGAGAGAGCAGAATTTAATTAGTTGTTTATTTTATATTCAATTTATTTTAATTAAAGAAAAGTTCACCCATTTCTCCTACCCCTGCTCTAAACCACATGTTCTCCGTGCATAAAATGGAAATCTCAGTACAGTGGGGCCTTGACTTACGAGTTCAATTCGTTCAGAGACCGAGCTCGTTAAGGAGCTCGTTAACTCAAATTACTCTATCAACTCAATGCAAAAAATCAGCCCATTAAAGAGCTCGTTAACTCAAATTACTCTATCAACTCAATGCAAAAAATCAGCAGGTATCTCAAAAAAACTCGTTAGTCGGGACACTCGTAAGTCAAGGCCCCACTGTAGTACCTGCTAACAACCCAAAATTCAGCCAGTATGCTGCCCATCCTGGTGGTGCCACACCCTGCCTGCTTGGATCCGCCTCAGAAGGGGTCAAAACCAAAGGTTGAAGAGCCCAGGACAATGGAAGGGGTGGGAGCTGGACAAACAGTAGGGCCCCGCCCGCTGGGAAGGAGGGGGCCAGCCAGAGGTGGACGAGGGCCCAGTTTCCAGAGAACCGGAATCTGGGTTTATATGTGAATCCTCCAGATTTTCCAATGTTGGCAACTAAATCAAATTGAAGCAAACAAACAAAAACCCCCAAATACTACCATGTGGGCCAAAGGAAACAGGACTGTGGGCTTCTCTTCCTCCCTCTATTTCACTTAACAAGCCCCCAAAGCTGGGTTTGGCTTTGGGCTTTGTGGCCCCAGGCCCCTGCCTGCCCACCTGCAAACTCTGACCTAAGGAATCAAGTCGAAATCTCTGGGCTTCCTCTCACTCTCTCCTGGAGCCTTTGTACTGTCCTCCTTCCTCTTCCTCATTCCAGAATCCTTCAAGGTCCAGCTCAGACATGACCTCCTCTGGGAAGTCTTCCATAATTTGTCCTCACATGGGAGTTCTCCCTCCCTGACCACCAACTTTTTACTTTAATTAAAACAAAGACATCCACCTAAATGGCAATCTCCGTGGACTTCCGTGAACCCAAGGGCAGGGATGAGCCCAGTCTCCTAACCCCAGTGCTTGTCCTAGAGCCAGATTAGCAGGCAGTTTTCTGAAAGGGGAGGCGGAAGGACAGACAGCGCTACCTCCAGCCCGGCCTCTCCCATCCCGCGTTCAGAGCTGAGGCCTGTGGGTCTGGGTTTCTCAATCCTGGCTGTGCATCAGTATCACCTGCTGGAGGTTGCAAAACCCGTGGCCCAGAGATTCTCATCAAGCAGGTGTAGGCTGCAGCCTAGGCATCTGTGTATTTAACAACCTACCCTGTGACTTTGAGGGCAACTGTGATTGAGAATCAGGGCATCAGAGGCAGGAGGAGAAGTCTGCCATCCTTAGGAGGCGAAGGTCCCCCTTGAGGCCAGCCCTGTGGCCCTAATGGCTCCACAGTGTTTCTCAGGGTTTAAACTGTGGCCCTCTGGAAGGGGCAGTGCCCACTCGGTGCCCCCTAGGCTGGAAGGAGAGGTGGGAGGTAGCATGGGCCAGGCCAAGAGACTCAACACACCCTCAGACCCCTATTCCCACATCTGGGCAGCCTATGAATTCTCTCATCCTGAGAAACAACGGGGTAGGTACAGGACAGTCAGGGAAACCGGCAGGGCCACCCCAACTGAGCCCACCCCTCCTCCACCTGCTCCGCTGTGGGGAAAAGGCCCTGCAGTCCCACGACTGCCAGACTCTGCAGCTGCGGCCACCTCCCCTGATCTGGCCAGCCCTCTGATGCCAAG